TGAACCAGGCCAGCCAATAGATCTCTGAAGTGCCTTGCTAATATGCCCAGCAGAAATACTTATTCCCTGTGAAACCTATTGGTGAAAATACAGGCATGCCCCCCAAACAGCTGCAGTCTGGAAAACCTGCTGCTTCATCCAGCTCTTTGGCTGACAGCTGGGAGGTGCGGAGGGGGCTGGGTGTTAGGCCAGGGCCCGCTGTCCCAGATGGGAACAGCAGAAGTTCCTTGGCTTGGGAGGGGACGGAGACCTCTGTGAGATGTACAAGCAGGAAGTGTGGGCCCTGAGGGACGGTCATGAGCCCTCACCACGAGGCAGGCACCGCAGACAGTTGGTCCTGCTGACCTTTTCCTTTTTCATCTTTTTTCCCCCATTCCTATTTCACGTCTTTGTCTAATAAGACACTGGTGGAGCCAACCAAGGGAATTCCAGCCTGGACAGCACCCCATGGCCAAAGGCAGCCAGGAACAAAGCCAGAGGCAGCCCAGTGCTTGGGCTGCTGAGCAGGTCCCAGAAGGACAGGTTATAGCATGAGCTACTAGGGAGAAACTAGATCAGACTCCAGCCACAAGGACAGCCCCTGCTGGTCCAGCTCCTTCTTCTCCCCCCCTGCACTGTGGACTTGTTCTCCCCAGAGAGAGGACAGTTAATGCCATCTGACAGTGTGTCACACAATTGCCCACAATTTCCCATTGCCAGGCTGCAAGTGGAAAAGGAAAAAAAAGATGCTGTTCCTATAGGAGCCAGCCTTTGTGGTTTTCTATAGCCTTTTGAGCCAAGGGTAAGAAGAGTTTGATGGTTAGGAATTGTCAGCACTAAACACTGAATTGCTCCAGGCCACATGGTGCTGAAAGGGTCCCGTTAGCAAAGTCTTGTTGTTCTCACACTCTCACCAGACTCTGGGTTGGGCTGGGGTGGGTATCTCAGCTGGGCCTGTTGAATTAACTCTATTTCAGCCTATTGATCTGGTTATAGGTGGCACACACCTGCCAGCCCTAAGCAGACCCTACGTCTCCCAGTGGGGTCCTTCCAGACAAAATGTTTTCACCATGTAAATGCCCCAGATACAGGCAATGTACAGTGCCAAATCCAAAGATGCCAGAGTGATGTGAAAAGTATTAGGCACCAATAAGGTCTCTGACCAAATTCCAGGAGGCACTGGGAATGATGAGTTTCACAGCACCTGCCCAGCATCCACAGACACCAGAGCACTTCACACTGCAAAGGCTACAGCTTTCCCCCTTTTATAGAGGGGTGGAAGAGGCCTTACCAGCATCTGGCTGACAGCAGAGGCTACTCTGCAGGCCTTGGTGCCCTCATCTTCACAGGGAGGTCAGTGCCCTGCAGCACAGTTGAGTCCAGCACACGGTCCCCAGTCCCCGCTTGCTTATCACTCATCAGTAACTCATCGCACAGTTGCTGCCGGCACTTTCCAAGTCCATGCTCATCAGTGCCCCAAGCCAGCTAGTGCCCCCTGAGGAACTGCCCGCCCCGCCCTGTTCATCTCTATGCCACGCAGCTGACAGTAGCGAGCATCTCTCCACCCACCAAGAGGACAATAAAAACCTCCCAGACCTGTGCAGAGGCTCACTGAGCCAGCTGGTGACCAGAGTGCTGGGACGCGGTGCTGAGCTGGGAAAGGGACTGTGCCCGGCACAACCCCCCAACTGCCTGCTTCGTGATACTCATGACAGGTAAATTGCCCCTGGGATCCTCTGCTTTGGGCCCTTCCTGGTTGATCATTGGTCCCTGGCTTCAGTCTAGCCCAGTGACTGCTGGCGGCCCCAGGATCCATGTGCTATGCATGGGGATGGGCAGCCATATTTCAGATCCACACCCTGGCAGTGAGTTGCTGAATATCAAGGGGGCTGAGCATGGGTGGGTTGTGCATGTGCATGTGTGCAAATCTGTATGCCAGACACCCCCAGTGGATCTGGCCACGGTGCTGCAGTCTCATGTTATTGACTTAGCTACAGAGATTACTGGTGGTACAGCACTCATGTTCCAAAACCTTTTTGGCACCCAAAAGTGCACCCGCACCTCTAAATACCTGGTTGTCAAGGGTTAGAGCAGGAGGGCTGGAAACCAGAAGTCCTGGGTTATATAGTAGCACTGGCAGGTTAGAGCAAGGGGGGAGGAGGGGAGTGCTGGGAGCCATGGCTCCATGCTCATGTCATACTATATGAAAAATATGATTAAGAAATCAGAAAGTCTCTGATCTGGCTCTGGTTTGGCTGGGCAGCAGGAGCAGCCAGGAATTCCTACTAGGTGTAAAGGAGGGGGAAGGAATGCCTACTAGGTGTAAAGGAGGGGGAATAGGATGTTTCAGGGTGTGCATGGGAAGGGGAGGGTGATACGGGGTGGGGGGCCATGCAAAGCAGCCCTGGGCTGACATGTATCCAGGATGATAAATTACACAAGCAAGCCCTACACCAGAAAGGGAGGTCACAACTCCAGGGGCTGGAGCTTTGTGACTGGTTGCTGCAGGGGCTGCGCCAGGATGAGGAGCTTCACTGCAGATGGGCTGGTGGGGGCTATGGGTCTTTGTCTAATGTAGCAGAGTGCAAGTAGTCTCCCAAAGGGGGCTGAAAGGAGATGAGACTGTTGAAGGACCGGGAAAGTGAAGCATGTGCAGACTGCTGATTATAACAGTGATGGTCAGGGAGTGCAATGACCCATGTATGCGATGCTGTGTAAACCATCAAGGATGCAGAGGGGACATAAATGGGCAGGGCCATGGGGGAAGTCAGACCTGGGGACACTGGATGGAGGCAGTGGACTGGGCTGAAGGCACTGCCATTTCTCCAGAACAATGTTGTAGTCCAGAAACCTGGGCAGTCTTGGCTGGAGGGTGCCCGGACTGGAGGGTGCCCCATGTGCCCCAGCCCCACACGGATCCTGGGGCTGCCAGCTATCACTGGGGTAAGGACTCCCCTTCCTAAATGCACACTCCCCATGTTTGTGTTGAAGCTCCATGGTTGTTGTGGGGACTGGCCCCCATTCTTTCTCTTTTTGCAGCCTTCATCACAGCCAGCCTGAGCATCCTGGCTGCAGACGGAGGCCCCTTCTCCAGCCCTGAGTGGGGCAGCTCTGTGGGGGCTCCCTGCCTGCTCGGGGTCCCGCAGGCCTGTGCAAGGTTGGGTGCATTGGCTGTGGAGAGGTCCACAGGGCTCGGGGATGATGCCCACCAGCACAGGAAGAACCAGCGTGTATCCAACGTGTCAGTGCAACTGGAAATGCGGAGCCTGTGGGAGGAGTTCAACCGCCTGGGCACCGAGATGATTGTCACCAAGGCAGGGAGGTAGGGGGAGGCACCGCATGGGCAGGGCAGGAACAGGGGCAGGGGCAGCACCATGGGCAGTGCATTCTACCTCTGTGCCTGCTCAACACTGCAACCTCTACAGGATGGGCCCAGTCCCCTGTCCCCAGCACTACACCTCCACAGAAAGGCAGTGCATCTGTGCCCACCCAATGCTGTGTCCCCAAAGCTGAGACCCCCTCTCCTTGCAGTGCCCCCCCCCATGCCCACCCCTTCTCCTGTCCCTGCAGGAGGATGTTCCCCACCTTCCAGGTGAAGCTCTCAGGCCTGGATCCGCTGGCCGACTATGTGCTGCTCATGGACTTCATGCCACTGGATGACAAGAGATACAGGTATAGGGGCTCAGGTGGGCAGGGACCCCTCTGCCTGGAACCCAGGTGCCTGCCCTCTGGTCTGCCCCCTCCCCTGTCAACCAGGCCAGGCCAGGCAGGTACAAGGCACCAAACCCCATTCTCTCTCCCCATAAGGATGCAACTGCCAGGCCCCTCACAAAGGAGGCTGTGCTGGAGTGGCACACTGGGGTCCACCTTCTTGGGTCCTGCCCCCCTCTTCTCTTCCCAGCCACTCCCAGCACTGCCCTGGGCACAGCACTGCAAGCTCTACTCCAGTCTACACCCCCATTATCATCCCAGCACCTTTCCCATTCATGGGGTATTCACAAGGCATCAAGTGTAGAGCTCATAGTTTCATAGTTGGTAGGGTCGGAAGGGACCTTGACAGATCATCAAGTTCGACCCCCTGCCATGGCAGGAGAGAGCACTGGGGTCAAGCGACCCCAGCAAGGTGTTCATCTAGCCTCCTCTTAAAGACCTCCAGGGTAGGAGCCAGCACCACTTCTCTTGGAAGTTGGTTCCAGATCCTAGCCGCCCTGACAGTGAAGTAGCGCCTCCTGATATCTAGTCTAAATCTACCCTCTGCCAGCTTGTGTCCGTTATTTCTAGTCACTCCTGGTAGTGCTCAGGGGAACAGGGACTCCCCCAATGCCTTCTGGTCCCCTCTGACTAGTTTGTAAACGGCCACTAGATCCCCCCTCAGCCTTCTCTTGTGGAGGCTGAACAGGTTCAGGTCCCGTAGCCTCTCCTCATAGGGCCTGCCCTGCTGCCCCCTGATCATGTGGGTGGCCCTCCTCTGGACCCTCTCAATGCTGTCCACATCCCTCCTGAAGTGCGGCGCCCAGAACTGGATGCAGTACTCCAACTGCGGCCTGATCAGTGTCGCACAGAGGGGAAGGATCACCTCCTTACACCTGCTTGAGATGCATCTGTGGATGCATGACAAGGTGTGGTTGGCCTTCCTGACCACGTCTCCACACTGTCAGCCCATGTTCATTTTGGCATCAATAATGACTCCAAGATCCTTTTCTGCCTCTGTGCTGACGAGAAGGGAGTTCCCCAGCCTGTAGGTATGCTGCTGGTTCTTCCTCCCCAGGTGCAATACCTTGCACTTGTCAGTGTTGAAACCCATCCTGTTCTCATCTGCCCACCCCTGTAACCTGTCTAGGTCCAATTGAAGCCTATTCCTCCCTTCTACCATGCCCACACACCCCCACATCTTAGTGTCATCAGCAAATTTGAACAGGGTGCTTTTTACCCCTTCGTTCAAGTCACTGATGAAGATGTTGAACAGTGCAGGTCCGAGGACCGAGCCCTGGGGGACCCCACTGCCCACATCCCTCTAGGTCAAAAATGACCCGTCCACCACCACCTTGCTCAGGGTAGGATCCTAGCTCACTTGCAGACAAGCCCAGGGTCCCATGGTAAGAACAAGCCCCTCCATGGCCATCCGACCAGCCTTCTGCCAGAGGGTACTAGTAATGCCTAGGAGATGGCACTAGAGAGACAAAGGGCCCCCGTAGGGTCACACGTAGGTGTTTTGTATTGGTGAAAGAGCCAGCACAGCTTCCCTGGTGCTAAGACCCACTCCTCCCCCTGCAGGTATGCCTTCCACAGCTCTTCATGGTTGGTGGCTGGGCGGGCAGACCCCGCAGCACCTGGCCGTGTTCACTTCCACCCTGACTCGCCCGCCAAGGGAGCACAGTGGATGCGGCAGATCGTGTCCTTTGACAAGCTCAAGCTCACCAACAACCTGCTGGATGACAATGGGCATGTGAGTCATGGGGGAACAGCATGGTGGAGGCACCTAGAGCTTATGGGGCATAGGAATATGGGGGGGGCACAGCCCTGCAGAGCCCAAAGCAGGTGTCTTTCCCCTGCAGGGGATGCCAGCACTGGTCTAGCCCAAGGGCAGAGCGGATGGGCTGGCTCAGGGGCAGAAGAGTGGGAATGGGGCCTTTACCCTGCTGTGGATGAAAGAGGGGAGAGGAGGCTGACTTAGGGGTGGTTATAGGGCACTCTTGGTTGGTAGTGGTTGGGGTCTGGTGCTGTGGCTGATGGCAACAGGGGTTGGGGGACAGCAATGAGATAAAATGCTGTGGCTGCCCTCGTGCCCATCTCAGTGCAGTGCTCCCCTCCCCACTGCACACGCAGATCATCCTGAATTCCATGCACCGGTACCAGCCCCGCTTCCATGTCGTGTTCGTGGACCCACGTCGAGACAGCGAGCGTTTTGCCCATGAGAACTTCAAGTCCTTCACCTTCACTGAGACCCAGTTTATGGCAGTGACAGCCTATCAGAACCACCGGGTGAGTGCCTGGCTGTGGCACCACTCTGACACATGCTGACACAGAGCCTAGCTCTGTCACCAGCTGGCTACACCAACCTCCCTGCCCTGCCTCACAGCCATGATGGATTTCCTGCAGGGGCTGCAGCCCCATGGAGTAGTACTGTCCCCCACAAACTGGACTTGCCACCCCCTATAGCAAGGAAGGGCAGGGGGTGCAGCCCAGGTCTGTGGGGGGCAGGGCCTGCTCCCCTCATCCCTCCCTGTCTTTCGGCAGATCACGCAGCTAAAAATTGCCAGTAACCCATTTGCCAAGGGGTTCCGGGACTGCGAGCCAGAGGACTGGTAAGGTGCACAGCAGAGTCCACACCCACACCACTACCTGCAGGGCTCCCTCACTGGGCACCCCTGCCATCTCCAAGCTGACCCTGGGGGTGACTGTGCTGCTCATCATACCACCCCACAGGGATATGGGCCCCACACCAACCACAGCGACCCCTACAGCAGCCTCTACCACCCTGCTCCTATCCAGCCCCAGTCTCTCCTTGCTTGGGCCCTCTTGACTTGACTATAAATCAAAGGGGCAAATCCGTTCACTAACTAATGTGCATAAAATGCCCCTAGGAAGGGGAAGAGGGGAGCCTCCTTCTGGAGGTGCTGGCTTTGCCCCCCTGCCCCTCCTACTGCCTCCCCCAACCTCTCACTCTCCCTCCCTGCCCTTCTCTCATGCAGGCCAGGGACAGCTGGGCCCCTGTTGGGGGTGCTGTCCCGGAATCAGGGTGCCACCCCCTCCACCCAGCTAAAGAAGCAGGAGAAAGGTAAGTCCTCACTTTGGGAGCCTAATAGCTCTGACACTGGGGATCCGCACCCCCAACAACATGTGGGGAAGGGTGCACCAGGCAACTGGGATGTTGGGGTGGGGAAGGCTCAGCCCTGACTCATAGCCGTATAGTCTATGCTGCTCCTGGGCTGGTAGAGCTGAGCTAAACACATGGTGACAGCTGCAGGGATAGCCACTCCATCCCCACACATAAAAATGCAGGCATGGCCCAGGGGCTGCAGGGTGGGGTGGACAGGGACCAGGCAGCATCTCTGCTCAGCACCTCCTGGGACATGGGGCCTGCAGCTAGGTGGTACAAGGGGTGGGATTTGAAGCACTGGTCAGTTTGAGCTTCAACATTGATGGGGTGGGGGAGGCAGCACAGCTTTGGCACTGAGGGCAGGGCTTGGGGCACTAGCTGGGTATTGTGCCAACACTGACAGCACGAGCAGGCATGACTTGGTGCAGAGGTTTGAGATACTGACTCGGGGAGGTGTGGTGTTTCACCATGGGGGCAGAGCTCAAGACTCTTTTGGATGGTGGCGGGGTTTTCACATTGGGATGTAGGGCTTTGTAGTGACCCCTCCTGTCCTCCACTCTCTTCAGATATGCCCACTGGGCACCATTTCAGCCGAGAGAGCACCCCGTCACTGCAGCAGTCCTCATTCATGCAACCCATGGGTGCCCATGGCTTCCAGGAGCTCCCAGCCCCACGGCACCCCCTCCCTGCAGAGCTGGCACCATACAAGCCCCTTGCCTACCATGGTGTATATGTTGGGGCTAAGCCGAGGGCAGCACCCTACCCACTGCCCTCTATCAGGGCAGCTGGCTTCCATGCACTCAATGTCTACACCACCAGCATGACTCCTGCCCTTGGCTACGAGCAGCAATGAGAAGCAGGGAGGGTTCCAACAGCCATGTGCTCCTTGCACAACAGCTGACGGCCTCCACCCAACACATAGCCTGACAGAAGCAGGACAGAGCCATTGTAGCCCAGGCCCGTTCTCCCCAAGCCTGCCTAGTCAGTGTCCCCTGGCCAGCAAAGCAGGCCTCCAAAGGGAATTATGTGCAGGCTGCCCCTGTGGCTTCCATCTCCCACTGCTACAACGGGGCTAGTCCCACAACCCTGGTTGTGCCCCACCAGCCTCCTGCGTCATGCCTGATAGAGCAGAAGCATCTCCTGCTCCTCCTGTCAGGGACATTAAATTCAGCCATCTCCCTCTCCCCTGGGGGTGAGTCCTCAGTCTGGTTCTGGGGGTCCATTGCAACTGCACTGCACTGAGCTTGCCTGTCATCCCTCATAACACATACTTGTTGAGAGAGGTCCAGGGTCCCACTGTGGCTGGCTGCCACCTCCCAGGTCATGGGGAACCCTGACCAAGCAAAGAGGTGTTCCTAGCTCAGCAGAATCCATGAAGCACAATCTGAATTTGCAATGGGTTCCATCCATGAGTGTCACTCCTAGGGCAACAGCCTCCCCTATGCACTGGCTTTTAAAGGCTCCAATAGCACGGCTGCCACTGGGCAGCTCTTGAAGCCAGTGTAGTCTGAGTGGGCTCTGCCCCTTGTGGCCATGCACCTGGTTTTCTCCACCCTCTCTGCAATTGGTGGGAGCCTAGACAGGTGACAGTGCTAGCTGGTGGCCAGACATGGAAACTGCTGCCCAGGTTATCTGCCTGCCTTACTGCACTGGTCCATGATGCCTGTCCCACCATGGTCTCTGCTGCACCTCCCTCCCCAGGTGGTAACTTAGAGTAGGGAAAACTCAGGCACAGGGAGTCCAGGTAGCTGCTCACTGGCTAATCCTGTTATAAACCAATGAGGACAAGGCTATTCAACTCTTTAATCATAAAAAAGATGGGAGGAAATGTCAGTGAAAGCACCAGGCCTTGAGGGAGTGGAGAGGAAAGCAGCACCAGGCTCAG